GAATTCTGATTTTCAGCTCTTTCTCCAAGTGGAAAGTTGATAAGTACGAAACATTTCTTTTTCTATTTTTCTCTCTCTTTTGTGATAATTTACAGAATTTAGGTAGTGATAGATGACCATGTTCCACTAACTGAATGATTTATTTACAGTGAGAAAATTAACTTTTTATCACAGTCATATTTATAAACAAACAATTATAGAGTAATACAAATCAGAATGATTAGGGATATACTATGAACAAAAGCCTCTATTATATATATTACATACAGGAAGGTATACAGAGAGATATATATATTTCAGTATTTATAAATGTGTAAATTTAGGAATATACCAAAACAAAAGCTTCTGCTTTATATTATTTTAGTATATATATATAGTATATATAATTTTAGTGTGTGCATATATATATTTACATATATATTTTAGTGTATATATATATATATGAAATATGTAATACTTTATAAAAATGTATATTATAAAAACATATAGGCTAATTCTGTGGCTTCCAGTGTTTCCACCCTTCCCCAGTTCTGGGGAAGGCCCCACTCCTCTAGGAGGTGCTTTCCCCTAGACCAGTTCCCCAATAGGGGCTCCCAGATTGGAAGCCCCACAGACAAAGGGCTCCTAGGTGAAGCTGCACCCTGTGTCGCTGCAGCCACTGGGGCCTCCCAACTATTCACAGGGCAGGTTCTGGGCATCTCCCCACCGTCTCTAGGGGCTGACCACTCAAGGGTTTCACCCCTTTATACAGATTTCAGGTTCAGAGGTCCTGCCAACTACTGCCAGGTGTAACTCGAGGGAGAGGAAATCCTGGGGCAAAATACCTTTAAAACTGAAATCAGTCAAAGGGAAAAATAAAGTTTAAAACCCATTTCTTGCTTACAAACTGCATTCCGGGGGCAGAGGCTCTGGCAGAGGCAAGCCAGTCCTCCACCCAACCTCTCAGGTTCAAATAAGCCCTTGGTTGCCCAGGTAACTACCCCTTGATATGGAGATGGACTACTTCTCTCCTCCCCTTAGAAGCACCTGTTGATATGGAGATACACTAAAACCAGGCAAGAGATTCTGGAAATATTACAATTTTACCCACATGTGTCATAAATAAAAAGGAGGTATATAAGTACATGATTATGAAAAAGAAGGTGGCAATATATTTATTAGCAACTTCCAATTGTGAGCTTATAATTTTAGATTAAGAAATTTCAACTTTTTTAGGCCCATCTTATTAGATATATCTTTTCCATTAGGTATATCTTTTCAAGCCATACATTTCTCCTTAGAATTCTGATTTTCAGCTCTTTCTCCAAGTGGAAAGTTGATAAGTACGAAACATTTCTTTTTCTATTTTTCTCTCTCTTTTGTGATAATTTACAGAATTTAGGTAGTGATAGATGACCATGTTCCACTAACTGAATGATTTATTTACAGTGAGAAAATTAACTTTTTATCACAGTCATATTTATAAACAAACAATTATAGAGTAATACAAATCAGAATGATTAGGGATATACTATGAACAAAAGCCTCTATTATATATATTACATACAGGAAGGTATACAGAGAGATATATATATTTCAGTATTTATAAATGTGTAAATTTAGGAATATACCAAAACAAAAGCTTCTGCTTTATATTATTTTAGTATATATATATAGTATATATAATTTTAGTGTGTGCATATATATATTTACATATATATTTTAGTGTATATATATATATATGAAATATGTAATACTTTATAAAAATGTATATTATAAAAACATATGTATAAAACAGAAGCTTCTGTTCATAGTATATCCCATCATACTTACATATATATTCATATATGTATACTGAAGAAATATTTACTTCTCCAAATACCTTATTGTATTTGTGTTTTTTCCTTTTTCCTTGTCTTAAGCTCATACTTGATTGGCCATACCTTATTTTTTCCTTTCTCCCTCCTCTCCTGCCTTTTTTTGTTGTTTATGATTTAACCTTAACCTAATTTTTTCCCTGCAGAAAACATTTCGTTAGTGTCTGTTCTTTCAATCTATCTCACTGCCCCTCTTGTCAACAAATTTGGTTATGCTTTTCTATTTAGTATGTGTATGTTGCTTTCATTCATGAATCATTGACCCACAAAGTTTATTTAATTTTTCCCTCTCTTTCTTGGATGGAATTGAATTTAAACAATCTTTTGTCTTTAGTTTTTGGCAAACAAAAAAGAACCTACTTGTACTGTTTGCAATTCCAGTTCATATAAATAAGATACTTCTAAAATCTAAAATTGTATTTTCCCCTACAAGAGATAATTCATGCAAGTATAAATCATGTCAAACACATTTCAAAATGTAACAAAAAATTTAAGTTTCTTAATGTTAGTTTTTTCAGTAATACTTCAAACTACCCAAGTATAAATTTTTGTTTTGGTTCTTTTGGTAAAGAAAATAATCTAGTACATATTACAGAATTTGTATAATAATCAATTAGCAGTAAGGAGAATAACATTTTGGTGCCACATAATTCATGTCTCATAATCCTTGCCCCTTTTATTTTTTTGGTATCATTAATGTACACTTACATGAGCAACATCGTGGTTACTAGATTCCCCCTATTATCAAGTCCCCACCACATACCCTGTTATAGTTACTGTCCAGGAGCGTAGTAAGATGCTATAGAGTCATTACTCGTCTTCTCTATACTATACTGCCTTCCCCCTGCTCCACCCCTACATTATTTGTGCTAATCATAATGCCTCTTTTACTCCTTATCCCTGCCTTCCCACCCATCCTCCCCAGTCCCTTTCCCTTTGGTAACTGTTAGTCCAATCTTGGGTTCTGTGAGTCTGATGCTGTTTTGTTCCTTCAGTTTTTTTCTTTGTTCTTATACTCCACAGATGAGTGAAATCATTTGATACTTGTCTTTCTGTACCTAGCTTATTTCACTAAGCATAATAACCTCTAGCTCCATCCATGTTGTTGCAAATGGTAGGATTTGTTTTCTTCTTATGGCTGAATAATATTCCATTGTATATATGTACCACATCTTCTTTATCAATTCATTTACTGATGGACACTTAGGTTGCTTCCATTTCTTGGCTATTGTAAATAGTGCTACAATAAACATAGTAGTGCATATGTCTTTTTCAAACTGGGCTCCTGCATTCTTAGGGTAAATTCCTAGAAGTGGAATTCCTGGGTCAAATGGTATTTCTATTTTTAGTTTTTTGAGGAACCTCCATACTGCTTTCCATAATGGTTGAACTAATTTACATTCCCACCAGCAGTGTAGGTGGGTCCCCCTTTCTCCTCATCCTTGCCAACATTTGTTGTTGTTGTTGTTTGTATGTCATTAGGATGTTGGCCATCCTAACTGGTGTGAGGTAATATCTCATTGTGGTTTTATTTTGCATTTCTCTGATGATTAGTGATATGGAGCATCTTTCATTGTGCCTGTTGGCTATCTGAATTTCTTCTTTGGAGAAGTGTTTGTTCAGCTCCTCTGCCCATTTTTTAATTGACTTATTTGCTTTTTGTTTGTTGAGGTGCTTGATCTCTTTATATAATTTGGATGTAAACCGCTTATCAGATAGGTCATTTATGGATATATTCTCCTATACTGTAGGATGTCTTTTTGTTCTACTGATGGTGTTGTTTGCTGTACAGAAGCTTTTTAGTTTAATATGGTCCCACTTGTTCATTTTTGCTTTTGTTTCTCTTGCCCGGGGAGATATGTTCATGAAGAAGTTGCTCATGTTTATGCTCAGGAGAGTTTTGCCTATGTTTTTTTCCAAGAGTTTTATGGTTTTGTGACTTTCATTCAGGTCTTTGATCCATTTTGAGTTTACTTTTGTGTATGGAGTTAGACAATAATCCAGTTTCATTCTCTTACATGTAGCTGTCCAGTTTGCCAACACCAGCTGTTGAAGGGACTGTCATTTCCCCATTGTATATCCATGGCTCTTTTATCATACATTAATTGACCATACATGCTTGAGTTTATATCTGGGCACTCTAGTCTGTTCCATTGGTCTATGGATCTGTTCTTGTGCCAGTACCAAATTGTCTTGATTACTGTGGCTTAGTAGTAGAGCTTGAAGTCAGGGTGTGTAATTACCCCACTTTAATCTTCCTTCTCAGGATTGCTTTGGCTATTTGGATCTTTTGTGTTTCCATATGAATTTTAGAACTATTTGGTCTAGTTCATTGAAGAGTACTGTTGATATTTTGATAGGGATTGAATTGAATCTGTACATTGCTTTAGGCAGGATGGCCATTTTGACAATATTAATTCTTCCTAGCCAAGAGCATTTGAGGAATTTCCATTTTTTAGTGTCCTCTTTAATTTCTCTTAAGAGTGTCTTGTAGTTTTCAGGGTATAGGTCTTTCACTTCCTTGGTAAGGTTTATTCCTAGGTATTTTATTTTTGATGCAATTGTGAATGGAATTATTTTCCTGATTTCTCTTTCTGCTAGTTCATTGTTAGTGTATAGGAATGCCACAGATATCTGTGTATTAATTTTGTATCCTGCAACTTTGCTGAGTTCAGATATTAGATCTAGTAGTTTTGGAATGGAGTCCTTAGGATTTTTTATGTACAGTATCATGTCATCTGCAGTGACAGTGACAGTTTGACTTCTTCCTTACCAGTCTGGATGCCTTTTATGTCTTTGTGTTGTCTAATTGCTGTGGCTAGGACCTATGTTGAATAAAAGTGGGGGGAGTGGGCATCCTTGTCTTGTTCCCGATCTTCAAGGAAAAGCTTTCATCTTCTCGCTGTTAAGTATAATGTTGGCTGTGGGTTTGTCATATCTGGCCTTTATTATGTTCGAGTACTTGCCCTCTCCTTACCCCTTTTAGATGAAGGTTAGCAAATGGCAAAACTGAGATTACATCTACATCTGAATGATTTCAAAGCCTCTCCTCTTTATGTTAGATCATCTAGTAAATGGTGAATATTATAGTTATTTTATCAAGTTTGATGCTTGTTTTTCTTAAAGCTATTAATTTTTTTCTAGAATGTCCTGAAACCAAGCTTAACAAAACTAATGACTGCTTCTCAGCAATCCAAGAAAAACAGTAAGCTATTTGAAGCCTGTCTGTTCTTGTGTTATTTGCTGATTCAAAATTACAGATATTTTCATGTACTCTTTACTTTGTTTTTCACTATAGCTGAAGCAAAACGTAGTGTAAGACCACACAAAAGAACCTTATTTGAGGACAGTAATTCTTATAGTGAAAATGAAGAAGTGGTTGAAACCCTTCCCAAGCCCTCAGTCGAAATCCAGGGCTGTTCTCATCCTTCCTTTCTATTCCCCAAGTCTGTGTTGAAACCTCCAAAATCTTTAGTAGTCCTTGGTGTAACAAAGGTAAGTTGTTTTGCATTAAAGTTTTTCCTCCATGCTTTTTCACATACCACTGTCCTCGTATGCCATCTTGGAGGGAAAGAATTGGATAGCAACAAGGAAGAACAGCCAGATGAATAGGAAGATGAGGGGGATGAAGGGCCAGAATTCATTTAAGAAGAGCAAGATGAATATAAAGATTGAATAAGAGTCAAATCAGAAAAAGTATTATAAAGACACAACAGAAATAGGTTAAGTAACAACAGGAACTCTAAATTATAAAATACAGTAGAAATTATTTTGAATGTACAGTAAGAAAGCCAGGTAATAAAAAAAATGTTCAGATGCTTCTGAATGATTTATAGCTGATTTTTATGAAGAACTGAATGAAAATTTAATCCCCACTTTCAGGATTAATAAAGTGATAGGTTATATTTAATCTAGCAAAGACTGTGTTCATAGATAATACAAAATGAAATCTGCTTAGGCTTTATCAAATTTATTGTGAATTATGACTTTTTGGCCCTTCTGTTTCTAACTTAACTTACAATAACTCATGTTACTGTTTGGTATAATCTTGGTAAGTGTTTTAGATCTTTTTGAGAAGAAAGAAGAAATAATTATGCATTTTATTCAGTCTTCATTAGTCAAAATTTATGATTATATGAAGAGATTTTTCATCTCCATTAAATGAAAAATTAAATTTTAAGCTGCTACACTCTTAAATATATTAATGTAAAACTTATTCTTTTCTGGAGAAATTCTAATTTTTCTTTTTCTGATAGTGTGTGGGTGTAACAGATACATATGCACACAGCAAATGAATGAAATCCCAATTTACCATTTTTTTCTAATAGAAACTACTTGTTATTATAGAATCATAAGGAAGGAAAGATTGTTCACAGAATACAAAAAAATTATTTCTGGAAAATGATTATTACTTTTTAAAATGCCTCCAGCAACTGGTACATTTCATATTATTCTTGGGAAGTGTTATTAACTTTAGAAGTCACAGCTGTTAAACCTAACATGTGAATGCTTTCATATCTAATATTCAGAAATCGCGGTATTTTGGTTTTGTTTACTTCCTTCTCTCCTCGTGAATATTGGGTCCTGCCTGATAATCATAGATGTATTCTGTAACATCTTGAATTGGTGTTTCACAATTAAATCTTTTCACTAAACTTAAGAGTACTTATTCCAGAAATGAATATTTGCATGCATCCATTAAGGAGTATATTTTTTATTCTTGAGGCAAATGATGAAATATATAATTGAAAAACTGAGTCCCATGGTTCTTATTCTGTTCTTCTTTTTAATTTTCAAAATTTCAGAGTTCTGTGTAGGTTTGTATGACTTAAATATATCAGTTTAGTATGTTACAAGTATTTATCTTCTAATATCATATGTTACTTCTGGGTATGTTCATTAATTATTACTCCAAATGTGTTAATCCAAATCTTTCCTTGCAGTCCCTGCATGCCTCACATTTGATAGGTCCCAAACTAAAGACATTGTCCCTGACCTTTTCCTGAATTTTGGTAATCTGTTCTGTCCTCCAGTTTCCCTATCCTATTAAACAGCACCACTGAAACAGTGAAGCAGGCAAAATCCTGGCCTCCAACCTCTCCTGCCATCACTGCATCCCTTCACCAAGTTTAGTCTTTTTTTAAAAAATTTATTTTGGTATGATTAATCTACAATTACATGAGTAATATTATGTTTACTAGACTTCCCCCATCATCAAGTAACCCCCACATACCGCATTACAGTCACTGTCCATCGGCGTAGAAAGATGCTATAGAGTCACTACTTGTCTTTTCTGTGTTGTACAGCCCTCCCTGTGCTCCCCTCTACATTATGTCTGCTAATTGTAGTGCTCCCTTTTTCCCCCTTATCCCTCCCTTCCCACCCAACCCTCCCTAGTCCCTTTCCTTTTGGTAACTGTTAGTCCATTCTTGGGTTCTGATGCTGTTTTGTTCCTTCAGTTTTTTTTCATGCTTTTATACTCCACACATGAATGAAATCATTTGATACTTGTCTTTTTCCACCTGGCTTATTTCACTGAGCATAATGCCCTCTAGCTCCATCCATGTTGTTGCAAATGGTAGGATTTGTTTTCTTCTTATGGCTGAATAATATTCCATTGTGTATATGTGCCACATCTTCTTTATCCATTCATCTACTGATGGACACTTAGGTTGCTTCCATTTCTTGGCTATTGTAAATAGTGCTGTGTAAAACATAGGGGTGCATTTGTCTTTTTGAAACTGGGCTGCTGCATTCTTAGGGTAAATTCCTAGGAGTGGAATTCCTGGGTCAAATGGTATTTCTATATCAAGTTGTTTGAGGAACCTCCATACTGCTTTCCACAATGGTTGAACTAATTTACATTCCCACCAGCAGTGTAGGAGGGTTCCCCTTTCTCCACAACCTCGCCAACATTTGTTGTTGTTTGTCTTTTGGATGGCTATCCTCACCAGGGTGAGGTGATACTCATTGTGGTCTTAATTTGCATTTCTCTGATGATTAGCAATGTGCAGCATCTCTTCATGTGCCTGTTGGCCATCTGAATTTCTTCTTTGGGGAAGTATCTGTTCAGATCCTCTGCCCATTTTTTAATTGGATTATTTGTTTTTTGTTTGTTTAGGTGTATGAGCTCTTTATATATTTTGGATGTTGGATCTGTCATTTATGAATATATTCTCCCATACAGTAGGATGACTTTTTGTTCTATTGATGGTGTCCTTTGCTGTACAGAATATTTTCAGCTTGATATAGTTCCACTTGTTCACCTTTGCTTTTGTTTCCCTTGCCTGGGGAGATATATTTATGAAAAAGTTGCTCATGTTTATATCCAAGAGATTTTTGCCTATGTTTTTTTCTAAGAGTTTTATTGTTTCATGACTTACATTCAGGTCTTTGATCCATTTTGAATTTGTTTTGCCAACACCAGCTGTTGAAGAGGCTCTCATTTCCCCATTGTATATCCATAGCTCCTTTATCATATATTAATTGACCATATATGTTTGGGATAATATCGGGACTCTCTATTCTGTTCCACTAGTCTGTGGGTCTGTTCTTGTGCCAGTACCAAATAGTCTTGATTACTGTGGCTTTGTAGTTAAGCTTGAAGTTTGGAAGCAAGACCCCACCTGCTTTATTCTTCCTTCTCAGGATTGCTTTGGCTATTCAGGGTCTTTTGTGGTTCCATATGAATTTTTGAACTATTTGTTCCAGTTTGTTGAAGAACACTTTTGGTATTTTGATAGGGATTGTATTGAATCTGTACATTGCCTTAGGCAGGATGGTCATTTTGACAATATTATTTCTTCCTAGCCAAGAGTATGGGATGGGTTTCCATTTGTTAGTGTCCTCTTTAATTTCTCTTAAGAGTGACTTGTAGTTTTCAGGGCATAGGTCTTTCACTTCCTTGGTAAGGTTTATTTCTAGGTATTTTATTCTTTTTGATGCAATTGTGAATGGAATTGTTTTCCTGATTTCTCTTTCTGCTAGTTCATTGTTAGTGTATAGGAATGCCACAGATTTCTGTGTATTAATTTTGTATGCTGCAACTTTGGTGAATTCAGATATTAGTTCTAGTAGTTTTGGAGTAGAGTCCTTAGGGTTTTTCATGTACAATATCATGTCATCTGCAAATAGTGACAGGTTGACTTCTTCTTTACCAACCTGGATGCCTTGTATTTCTTTATTTTGTCCTATTGCTGTTGCTAGGACCTCCAATACTATGTTGAATAACAGTGGGGAGAGTGGGCATCCCTGTCTTTCCTGATCTTAGGGGAAAAGCTTTCAGCTTCTTGCTGTTAAGTATGATATTGGCTGTGGGTTTATCATATATGGCCTGTATTATGTTGAGGTACTTGCCCTCTATACCCTTTTGTTGAGAGTTTTTATCCCTAATGGATGTGAATTTTGTCAAATGATGTTTCAGCATGTTTGGAGATGATCATGTGGTTTTTGTCCTTCTTTTTGTTGATGTGGTGGGTCATGTTGATGTATTTTATAATACTGTACCATCCTTGCATCCCTGAGATGAATCCCACTTGATCATGGTATATGATCCTCTTGATGTATTTTTGAATTTGGTTTGCTAATATTTTGTTGAGTATTTTTGCATCTATGTTCATCAGGGATATTGGTCTGTAATTTTCTTTTTTTGTTGGGTCTTTGCCTGGTTTTGGTATTAGAGAGATGCTGGCTTCATAGAATGAGTTTGGTAGTATTTCCTTCTCTTCCATTTTTTGGAAAACTTTAAGGAGAATGGGTATTATGTCTTCTCTAAATGTCTAGTAAAATTCAGTGGTGAATCCATCTCACCCAGGAGTTTTGTTCTTGGGTAGTTTTTTATTACTGATTCACTTTCGTTGCTGGTAATTGGTCTGTTTAGGTTTTCTGTTTCTTCCTCGTTCAGTCTTGGAAGATTGTATTTTTCTAGGAAGTTGTCCATTTCTTCTTGGTTATCCAGTTTGTTAGCATGTAGATTTTCATAGTATTCTCTAATAATTCTTCGTATTTCTGTAGTGTCCATCCTGATTTTTCCTTTCTCATTTCTTATTCTCTTTATGTGTGTAGAGTCTCTTTTTCTCTTAATAAGTCTGGCTAGATGTTTATCTATTTTGTTTATTTTCTCAAAGAACCAGCTCTTGGTTTCATTGATTTTATCTGTTGTTTTATTCTTCTCAATTTTATTTATTTATTTCTTCTCTGATCTTTATTATGTCCCACCTTCTGCTGACTTTGGGTCTCATTTGTTCTTCTTTTTCCAGTTTCAATAATTGTGACTTTAGACTATTCATTTGGGATTGTCCTTCCTTCTTTAAGTAGGCCTAGATTGCTATATACATTCATCTTAGAACTGCCTTTGCTGTGTCCTGCAGAAGTTGGGGCTTTGTCCTGTTGTTGTCATTTGTCTCCATGCATTGCTTGGTCTCTGTTTTAATTTGGTCATTGATCCATTGATTATTTAGGAGCATGTTGTTCAGCCTCCATGTGTTTGTGAGCCTTTTTGTTTTCTTTGTACAATTTATTACTAGTTTTATACCTTTGTGATCTGATAAGTTGGTTGGTAGAATTTCAATCTTTTTAGATTTCTGAGGCTCTTTTTCTGGCCTAGTATGTTGTCTATTCAGGAATATGTTCCATGTGCACTGGAGAAGAATGTGTATTCTGTTGCTTTTGTGTGTAGAGTTCTGTAGATGTCTGTTTGGTCCATCTTTTCTAGTATGTTGTTCAGTGCTTGTGTGTCCTTACTTATCTTCTGTCTTGTTTATCTGTCCTTTGGAGTGAGTGGTGTGTTGAAGTCTCCGAGAATGAATTCATTGCATTCTATTTCGTCCCTTAATTCTGTCAGTATTTGTTTAACATATGTTGGTGCTCCAGTGTTGGGTGCATATATATTTATAATGGTTATAACCTCTTGTTGGACTGCCCCCTTTATTACTATGTAATGTCCTTCTTTATCTCTTATTACTTTCTTTGTTTTGAAGTCTATTTTGTCTGATACAAGTACTGCAACTCCTGCTCTTTTCTCCCTATTGTTTGTATGAAATATCTTTTACATCCCTTGAGTTTTAGTCTGTGTATGTCTTTCAATTTGAGGTGGGTCTCTTTTAAGTAGCATAGAGATGGGTCTTGCTTTTTTATCCTTTATATTACTCTGTGACTTTTGGTTGGTGCATTCAGTCCATTTATATTTAGGGTGAGTATCAAAATATATGTACTTATTGCCATTGCAGGCTTTGTATTCATGGTTACCAAAGGTTCAAGGGTATCTTTACTATCTAACCATCTAACTTAACTCTCTTTAAGCTATTATAAACACAGTGTGACGATTCTTTATTTCTCTCCCTTCTTTTTCTTCCTCCTCCATTCTACATATGTTAGGTGTTTTATTCTGTACTCATTTGTGTTTCCTTTGACTGCTTTTGTGGATAGTTTATTTTATTTTTTTCCTTTAATTAGTATTTGATTGGTCTGCTTTCTTTGGTGTGATTTTATTTTCTCTGGTGACATCTATTTAGCCTTAGGAGGGCTTCCATTTAGAGCAGTCCCTTTAAAATATCCTGTAGATGTGATTTGTGGGAGGCACATTCCCTCAGCATTTGCTTTTCTGTGAGTTGTTTAATCCCCCCTTCAAATTTAAATAATAATCTTGCTGGATACAGTATTCTTGGTTTGAGGCCCTTCTGTTTCATTGCATGAAATATATCATGACATTCTCTTCTGGCCTGTAAGGTTTCTGTTGAGAAGTCTGATGATAGCCTGATGGGTTTTCCTTTGTAAGTGATCTTTTTTGTCTCCCTGGCTGCCTTTAATACACTGTCCTTGTCTTTGATCTTTGCCATTTTAATTATTATATGTCTTGGTGTTGTCCTCCTTGGGTCCCTTGTGTTGGGAGATCTGTGGGCTTCCATGGTCTGAGAGACAATTTCATTCCCCAGGTTGTACAGCAATTATTTCTTCAAAGACACTTTCTATCCCTTTTTCTCTCTCTTCTTCTGGTCACTCTTTAATGCAAATATTGTTCTGTTTGGATTGGTCACACAGTTCTCTTAATACTCTTTCATTCCTAGAGATCCCTTTTTCTATCTTTGCCTCAGCTTCTCTGTATTTCTATTCTCTGATATCTATTCCATTAACAGTCTCTTCCACCTCATCCATTCTGCTCTTAAGGCCTTCTATAGATTGTTTCATTTCCTTTATCTCTCTCCAGAGTTCATCCCTTAGGTCTTGCATAGTTCTCTGTAGGTTCATAAGCATGGTTAAGACTTTTATTTTGAATTCTTTTTCAGGAAGATTGGTTATATCTATCTCACCAGGCCCTCTCTCTAGGGTTGTCTCAGTAATTTTGGACAGGACCAGATTCTTCTGCCTTTTCATGGTGATAGAAGTGGTTGCAGGCAGGTAGCACATGTGTCTACTGGGAGAACAAAGTCCCATCCTGCTTGCTGGTTACCTTACCCTTCACTGCTGCCTGTGTCAGTTACCCGCACACTGGGAGCAGTCTCTGGGATAATCTCGGGAGCTGCCTTGGGCAGTGCCCCACTCAGGCTAGCCTAGAACACTGCGGGGTGTCATCAGTGCATTGGATGTGTTCTTCTGTGTGAACAGTGCCCCTTCATGCCTTTTGGACCTTGCTCTGGCTTCTGCTGCCTGTGCAGTTTACCCACACACAGGGAGCAGTCTCTAGGATAATCTCCTGAGCTGCCATGAGTGGGGCGGCTCTCGGGGTAGCCCAGAGCCCTGTGGGGGTTGGCAGATGCATAGGGTGTGTTCTCCTGTGAGAACGGCACCCCTTCCTGCCCTCTGGACCTTGCTCCAGCTCCCTCTGTGCTGGGCAGCTACGCACCAGCGGCAGCCTCTGGGTCTGTGCCGGGTTTTCCTTTGTAGGTGATATGGTATATATATATATATATATATATATATATATATATATATATATATTTATTCAGTCTGGATAGATACACTCTCCTTTGCACTGGGAGGAGACTCTGGGTGGTTGCTGTGGGCAGGGATTTTCTCTGGCTGCTCCACAGCTATGGCAGGTCAGCTGGTTTGCTTGCAGCACTGGCCAGGGGGAACTAATGGCATGCTGCTTATTGCAGTGAGAGGCTTTGGGGCTGGGTAACTCCCCAGGGGGCTGGAGCTCCTTAAGTTCCTTATTATTCCCAGCCTGCTGGGCTGAGTGTGCCAGGACGATTTTGTCCAGCTGTTAAGCACTTGTTCCTTTAATACTTTTAAAAAGCGCCTGCTTTTCTTTTGTCCCAGGGGAGCCGGCAGTGGGGACCGGCCTGTAGTCTCTGTCTCAGATTTTACTTTTCCATTTCTCTAATATCCAGTATACCACACAATGTGTGTCTGTGCTTCCAGTGCAGGTTACTGGGACTGGTTATTTATCAGTCCTATGCTTCCACTCCCCATTCTGATTCTTTCCCTCCTGCTAGTGAGCTGGGGTCGGGGGAGTGCTCGGGTCCCACTGGGTCATAGCTTTGTATCTTACCCTCTTCATGAGATGCTGAGTTCTCACAGATGTAAATGTAGCCTGGCTGTTGTACTGTATCATCTGGTCTCTCTTTTAGGAGTAGTTGTATTTGTTGTATTTTCAAAAATATGTATGGTTTTGGGAGAAAATTTCTGCCTCTCTACTCATGCTGCCATCTTGAGCCCCTCCTCAAGTTTAGTCTTTTTTATTTGCTGACCATAATTCACTTTCTCAATCTTCCCCCCCTCAGTTACAAGATATAGCCTTTTTCTTGATCAGCATCTCCTGAGCTTCCCAGATACAACTGACTGTTCTCTTTTTTGCTTGACTCTCCTTTATTCACTTCAGTTGTAGAAATAATGAATGATACTAGTTTTCATGTTATCTCTACCCCTACTGGAATATAGGCAGACCTTTTATTTGTATTCCCAGCTTCTCCCAGGATAATGCCCACAATTTGATAGGTACAGTATATATTTGTGGTCTTACTGACTGACTGAGTGAGCAAGTGAATGAATATGTTGTTTTCTGAAATTGGGTTTTTGTTTCAATTTGTTTTTATAGAAAGAACCAACAAAGCCATCAGTTGGAAAACAAGAAAATTGTAATGATGCTGTTGAATGTACTCCACATAATTTGACTTCTTTTGATGGAGCACCCAAAAGTAATAGAGGTGGTAAGTGAGTTAACATCTATAAATTTTTTTCTATGCTTAAATGCTAGTGTAAAAAAATCTAAAGTGTATAGATCCAAATGTGACATCCGTTTCTTTTAAGGATTTTTCTTTTACCATCTTTCTTCATGAGTATCCCAACCACTACCAGTTTTTTCTTCCTGAAAATGCTTCAACTCTGAAATTTTCTGCTATTATTTTTATTTTATTGAAATGCTCATGAATGGAAATCAACTTTTATGTGTTTTTAAAAGTGATAGTAATTGTTCTCATTAGTGTGTCTGCAACTGCCTTTTATAGATATGATGTCTGCATTAGGATTGGGAGGGGAGGAAGACAGAGAATCACCTTGGGATTCTGAGGTACTGTTTTCTTTTTTTTTTTTTAACTATAAGCATTAAGTGATGTTTAACATAAAAGGAAATGCTTTGACTTCACTTTCTCACCATTTCATTATTTATTTTAACCTATAATTAGTATATAATTATGTGCTGAATACTGCATAACACAATTCTGTTAATTTGTAAGATTGACTTAATGAAACCAGTGTAATATAGTGCAAAAAAGTAAAGCCTAAGATCATAAGGGATCAGTTCTGATGTCATGTGAAAAAATTAAATTATTATTCCAGGCTAATCTATGGCCAAATGTATGATTCTATGGCATATATGAATGTGTAAAACTCCTAATGAGATTCAGTTTGGATTATAGTTTTTTACAATTTAGAACTGGAAAAATTAATGCCTGGGACTTAAAAGTATTGTAACATTTGGATTGTCTAGTAGCTTGGCAAGGACCTTTTAAGGAGAAGGAAAAGCATGGGAAGTGGTAATAAATGTATGGGATTATAATAACAAGTTTGATTTAGCAGTGTTTTAATGAGTAAAAACCATTCCAGATAGTTGGAGGAGCATGCATTGGATGCTTTATGGCAGCCATACTCATTGTGTTGTAAGTATAAAGTAATGATGACCTTTTCCAAGGAAACAACTGTGGAAGGAGATAAGGGCCTGATCTTAGATAATAGGCCACTGCTGCATAATGGTACAGGCATCATATTTGATGTCAGAAGACATACTAGTATCCTGGTTTTGTCACTTACAAGTATGGGATCTTGGAAAAACGTGTTTAGTCTGTTTAAATGTCAGTTACTTCATCACAAAAATGGTACTAATAACTACCTTTCAGGTATGTGTAATGAACAAATGTGAAAAACATTTGTAAACTGTATAAATGGTGCAATAGAATTGTGTGACGAAATGATCCCAGTGGTGTTCAGTGACAATATTGAGGACACTCTTTTTAAACATAAAAGACAATAAAATGGCAGTAGTGTCAAGAAAAGAATGGGGGAGTTGGAACAGTGTATGGATTTCTAATTTGGGGTTTGTTAAGTTTCAGTAGACAATTATTGGAGATAATCCATAGTTATACAATGATTTGGTACCAAGGCCATCACAATGAGATTATTTTAAATGTTTCAATTTTAAACAAATTTCTGTCACTGAATACCATCTATGTGCTGGGCAGTTAGACTTTGAAAGTACAAGTTCAAGGGTTAGGCTACAGTGGTAGGAGCAGAAAAACATAAGTCACTCTAAGTGCTTCATATAAAGAAATTGGAAAATGTTAGGTTAGAGAATATTGGGGGAGTTTGTAGTTAGGGTAGGGATTGAAGTGGGAATGGAATTTAGGTAGTCCAAAAAGATCTCTCTGGGTATGTCAAAAGCTGCCAGGTGAAAGGTGAGAAGGAGCCAGTCATGTGAAAGTCTAGGAGGAGTCTGGATGGAGAACAAAGTATTGCCTCTGTTCATACTTCACTCTAGTAACTTGGAGTGACGAGGAAGCAGGAACTGGGGTAACCATCATCATAGTCATTTTTATTATTATTGCTGTGTGTAGTAAAGAAAATGTGCATAATAAGTGCCTGGCACATTTTAGATGGTTAATGAATAATGTTCTTATTCTTCCCTTATTAAAACCTTCTATAGTTTTTGAAGAGTTGCATTAATTATATCAATAATTTTTTCTATTAAATGTAATTTAAAGAAAAATCTTCATCACTGCTTTGCCACTTTATTCAACCATTTTTCCTATCAATAAATAATAGTTGTATTCTTCCAAACCCTTGTTTCCTGAAATGAAGCAGTTTCTACAATTACCTGTTTATATTCAACATGACATGCTCCAAGGCTTCTTATGATGCCAAGTCTCTTATTTTAACACTAAAAAAATTTCTTTCTTTAGAAATAATTTTAAATTTATAGCAAGCATACTTATTAAAAAGTTATTTAAATCAGTATTTAAGAAAACAGTAGTCTTATTTGGTGGGGAATGCAAAGTCGAGTTAGATGTTTTGTTAAGTCCTTTTTGACTTGTGCATGTAAGTCAGGCTTTTGTCTATGAAAATAGTTAACTCTGGCCTTCCATGCTCAGTTTTACAGTCAGTAGCTAAGGGAAGGTAAAAGATAGACTTGACCTAGAGAGAATAAATGAGGTTTCCTATTTAAATACTTTGGTTTTTAATAGATGCTTCTCCTATTTTTAAGTCTAATTGCTTTTAAAGTATGAAATTCAGATCTTCTCTTAGAAAGGGGTATCATTGATACATATTCTTATAAAGGTTTCACGTGAAAAACATTGTGGTTTCAACATTCACCCATATTATCAAGTCCTCATCCCCTCATTGCAGTTACTGTTCATCAATGTAGTAAGATGCTATAGAGTCGTTATTTGTGTTCTCAGCTGTACTGCCTTCCCCGTGACTTACCTATATTGTGATTGCTAATTGTAGTGCCGCTTAATCCCCTTCTCCCTCCCTCTCCACCCACCCTACCCACCCATGGTAACCGCTTGTCCCCTCTTGGAGGCTGTGACTCTGCTGTGCAACTCATTATTGATACTAATTTTAACAGAGTATCTCTGAGAGTCTTCCACAGAATGTTGATCATTTTTCTGGAGCTGCAGATCAAAAAGGAAAAAATATATTAAATAGTCAATTAGAAGGTAAGAACTGTATTTTATAAAAAAAGTCATTTGAAAGAATGTCAGTTTAAAACATGAATACTGATACATTCTAATATCCAAAGAAAATCACCTATTAAATGCGTAGTAATGAAAAAAGATGTGAAAATGAGAAAGTTATTTATTTTATCAGGTGTCCCCTGTGGATTGAGAGTTGTTAACACTAAAAGGCATTCAGTTATTGGTTTCATTTCATGATACTCTAAGACCTAAAAAAGTCTGGAAGTAAGGAAAAGGAAAAGAGGGAATGAAGAATGAGAAAGGCAGAGAGTAAAGGGAGCACAGGCAATAAAATACAGAAAAAGAAGCAGGTGTATATGGGGGATGGTGGTAAAATAATGGAGGAGCAGCACATTTGAAATACGGGAATCATATAAAGTGAGCTTCCAATACTAAAACCTGTCAGAGAAGGATAGTAAAATTTTCCCACTCTTAAACTGTTTTCCTCACTGTTGGGAAAGCATCAAGGATAGAGGCTCCTGATCATGCAGAGCTATGTTTACCTGCCATGGGTGAACATAAATTTTTCAGCTGTAAGTGTGTGTACTTGTATGTCATATAAATGTTGCAACTTCATAGGAGAGCATCACATGGGACAGAATTAGAGAATTGGAAGGAAGAAGAGAGCTGAGTCAGTTGCAGGGAGATCGAGGAAGCTATAAAGCTTTTCTGATGAAATTCCCATTAGTTTATGACTTTTAATGCATTTCAGTTTTGGAGAAGTGATACTGATGAATCTGATGCTACATTTCAGAAGATTTAAGATAAGGTAAAGGAATGGGGAAGGAGACTCAAAATCGACCAGAGTTTCTCAAATTTTAATGAATCACTTGGGAGCTTGTTGAAAATGCACATTCTGAGTTGCTGGTCTGGAATTCTGCATTTTTTTTTAATGTTAAGAGAAAATTTATTGTCTTACAATATCCATTTAAATAAACAGTAGGTAAGGGAACAAAAAAATCTTTTAAGGAAAGCAGAAAGAGGAAATTAATCCCTGACATATCATCTGTGGCCATTGGACCCAATTCTAGTCTTTGACTTTCTTTTTTGAGGAGATCTAACTAAGGATTTATGATTAATTCTTTCTTAGAGGTCTGGCAAAGAACAAAGAAAAAATATATTCATTAAAACAAACCAAAACTCTTATCTTGCTATAACTCTATGGAACTCCTACACATTTAAAACAGAATCTTCGTGATTTTGTATCCCTTATCTTAGAACATTTTTTATTCTTCATCTCAGGATTTATATTATTATAACTCATTGTGGAAGCTAGCCTTCAAGATAGTCCCCAATAATTCCTGCCTCTTGGTATTCAGGCCTTGGGTCATCCCTCCAGTTGACTGTGTACTCCCATTCCTGTGACTCTTGTACTTGTTATTTTTATTTTTATTAAGGTATCATTGATATATAATCTTATGAAGGTATCACAAGAAAAACAATATGGTTACTACATTCACCCTTATTATTAAGTTCCCCCCAAATCCCTTGCAGTCATTGTCCATCAGTGTAGTAAGATGCCACAGAGTCCCTACTTGTCTTCCCTGTGACCCCACACACACCTTTTCCACCAATTATGATACCCCTCAATCCCCTTCACCGTTTCTTACCCCTCCCCTTTGGTAATCGCTAGTCCCTTTTTGGGGTCTGTGAGTCTGCTGCTATTTTCTTCCTTCATTTTGCTTCGTTGTTATACTCCACAAATGAGGGAAATCATTTGCTATTTGTCTTTCTCTGCCTATTTCACTGAGCATAATATCCTCCAGCTCTATCCATGTTGTTGCAAATAGTAGGATTTGTTTCTTTCTTATGGCTGAATAGTATTCCATTGTGTATATGTACCACATCTTCTTTATCCATTCATCTACTGATGGACACTTAGGTTGCTTCCATTTATTGGCTATTGTAAATGGTGCTGCAATAAACATAGGGTGCATCTGTCTTTTTCAAACTGGGCTGCTGCATTCTTAGGGTAAATTCCTAGAAGTGGAATTCCTGTGTCAAATGGTATTTCTATTTTAAGTTTTTTGAGGAACCTCCATACTGCTTTCCACAGTGGTTGAACTAATTTACATTCCCCCCAGCAGTGCAGGAGGGTCCCCCTTTCTCCACATCCTTGTCAACAATTGTTGTTGTTTGTCTTTTGGATGGTGGCCATTCTAACTGGTGTGAGGTGATATCTCATTGTGGTTTTAATTTGCATTTCTCTGATGATTACTGATGTGGAACATCTTTTCATGTGCCTGTTGGCCATCTGAATTTCTTCTTTGGAGAAGTGTTTGATCAGCTCCTCTGCCCATTTTTTAATTGGATTATTTGCTTTTTGTTTGTTGAGTTTTGTGAGCTCTTTCTATATTTTGGATGTCAACCCCTTATCGGATATGTCATTTATGATATTCTTCCATACTCTAGGATGCCTTTTGTTCTACTGATGGTGTCCTTTGCTGTACATAAGCTTTTTAGTTTGATATAGTCCCACTTGTTCATTCTTGCTTTTGTTTCGCTTGCCAGGGGAGATTCGTTCATGAAGAAGTTGTTCATGTTTATTTTCAAGAGAGTTTGGCCTATGTTTTCTTCTAAGAGTTTTATTGTTTCATGACTTGCATTCAGGTCTTTGATCCATTTTGAATTTACTTTTGTGTCTGGAGTTAGACAGTACTCTAGTTTATTCTCTTACATGTAGCTGTCCAGTTTTGCCAACACCAGCTGTTGAAGAGGCTGTCATTTCCCCATTGTATATCCATGGCTCCTTTATCATATATTAATTGACCATATCTGCTTGGGTTAATATCTGGACTCTCTATTCTGTTACACTGGTCTATGTGTCTGTTCTTGTGCCAGTACAAAATTGTCTTGATTACTGTGGCTTTGTAGTAGAGCTCAAAGCTGGGAAGCAAGAACCCCCCTGCTTTATTCTTCCTTCTCAGGATTGCCTTGGCTATTCAGGGTCTTTTGTGGTTCCATATGAATTTTTGAACTATTTTTTCCAGTTCATTGAAGAATGCTGTCAGTATTTTGATAAGGATTGCACTGAATCTGTAGATTGCTTTAGGCAGGATGGTCATTTTGACAATATTATTTCTTCCTAGCCAAGAGCGTGGGATGAGTTTCCATTTGTGAGTGTCCTCTTTAATTTCTCTTAAGAGTGACTTGTAGTTTTCAGGGTATAGGTCTTTCACTTCCTTGGTTAGGTTTATTTCTAGGTATTTTATTCTTTTTGATGCAATTGTGAATGGAATTATTTTCCTGATTTCTCTTTCTGCTAGTTCATCATTATTATATAGGAATGCAAGAGATTTCTCTGTATTAATTTTGTATGCTGCAACTTTGCTGAGCTCAGATACTAGTTCTAGTAGTTTTGGAGTGGAATCTTTATGGGTTTTTTATGTACAATATCATGTCATCTGCAAATAGTGACAGTTTGACTTCTTCCTTACCAATCTGGATGCCTTTTATTTTTTGTTTTGTCTGATTGCTGTGGCTAGTACCTCCAGTACTATGTTGAATAAAAGCGGGTAGAGTGGGCATCCCTGTCTTGTTCCTGATTTTAGAGGAAAAGTGTTCAGCTTTTCGCTGTTAAGTATAATGTTGGCTGTGGGTTTGTAATATATGGCCTTTATTATGTTGAGGTCCTAGCCCTCTATACCCATTTTGTTGAGAGTTTTTACCATGAATGGATGTTGAAATTTGTCAAATGCTTTTTTTGGCTTCTATGGAGATGATCATGTGGTTTTTGTCTTTCTTTTTGTTGATGTGGTGAAAGATGTTGGTGGATTTTTGAATGTTGTACCATCCTTGCATCCCTGAGATGAGTCCCAGTTGTTCATGGTGCATCATCCTCTTGATGTATTTTTGAATTTGGTTTGCTAATATTTTGTTGAGTTTTTTTGCTTCTATGTTCATCAGGGATATTGTTCTGTAATTTTCTTTTTTTGGTGGTATCTTTGCCTGATTTTCGTATTAGAGTGATGCTGACTTCATAGAATGACTTTGGAAGTATTCCCTCCTCTTCTATTTTTTGGAAGACTTTAAGGAGAATGGGTATTATGTCTTCTCTAAATGTCTGATAAAATTCAGCAGGGAATCCATCTGGTATGGCAGTTTTGTTCTTGGGTAGGTTTTTGATTACTGTTTAAATTTAATTGCTGGTAATTGGTCTGTTTAAATTTTCTGTTTCTTCCTGGGTCAGTCTTGGAAGGTTGTATTTTTCCAGGAAGTTTTCCATTTCTTCTTGTTTATCCTGTTTGTTAACATATGGATTTTCATAGTATTCTCTAATAATTCTTTGTATTTCTCTGGTGTCCATTATGAATTTTCCTTTCTTATTTCTGATTCTCTTAATGTGTGTAGATTCTCTTTTTCTCATAATAACTGTGACTAGGGATTTATCTATTTTGTTTATTTTCTCAAAGAACCAGCTTTTTGTTTCATTAATTTTGTCTATTGTTTTATTCTTCTCAACTTTATTTATTACTTCTCTGAACTTTATTATGTCCCTCCTTCTGCTGACTTTGGGCCTCATTTGCTCTTCTTTTTCCAGTATCAATAATCACGACTTTAGACTGTCATTTGGGATTATTTTTTCTTCTTTAAATAGGCCTGGACTGCTATATATTTTCCTCTTAGAACACCATCTCTGCACTGCACAGAACTTTGGGCATTGTGGTGGTGTTTTCATTTGTCTCCATATATTGCTAAATCTCTGTTTTAGTTTGGTCATTGATCCATTGAGTATTTAGGAGCACATTGTTAAACCTCCATGTGTTTGTGAGCCTTTTTGTTTTCTTTGTACAATTTATTTCTAGTTTTATACTTTTGTGATCTTAGAAGTTGGTTGGTAGAATTTCAGACTTTTTGAATTCACTTAGGTTCTTTTTGGGGCCTAGTATGTTGTCTATTCTGGAAAATGTTGCATGTGCACTGGAGAAGAATGTGTATCCTTCTGCTTTTGTGTGTAGAGTTCTGTAGATGTCCGTTAGGTCCTTCTCTTGTAGTATGTTGTTCAGTGCTTGTGTGTCCTTACTTATTTTCTGTCTTGTTGATCTGTCCTTTGGAGTGAGTGGTGTGTTGAAGTCTACTAAAATGAATTCACTGCATTCTATTTCCTCCTTTAATTCTGTTAGAATTTGTTTCACAAATGCTGGTGCTCCTGTGTTGGGTGCATATATATTTATAATGGTTATATCCTCTTGTTGGACTGACCCCTTTATCATTATGTAATGTCCTTCTTTATCTCTTGTTACTTTCTTTCTTTTGAAGTCTATTTTGTCTGATACAAGTAGTGCAACTCCTGCTTTTTTCTCCCTAATAGTTGCATGAAATATCTTTTTCCATCCCATCACTTTTAGTCTGTGTATGTCTTTGGGTTTAAAGTGAGCCTCTTGTAGGCAGTATATAGATGCATCTTGCTTTTTTATCCTTTCTATTACTCTGTATCTTTTGCTTGGTGCATTTAGTTAATTTACATTTAGGATCAATAGATATGTACTTATTGCCATTGCAGGCTTTGGATTCATGGTTACCAAAGGTTTAAGGGTAGCTTCTTTACTGTCCAACTGTCTACCTTAACTCGCTTATTATGCTATTATAAACACAGTGTGATGATTCTTTATTTCTCTCCCTTCTTTTTCTTCCTGCCCCACTCTTTATATCTTAGGTGTTTTATTCTGTACTCTTTGCATTTCCCTTGACTGATTTTGTGGATAGTTGATTTTATTTTTTGCCTTTATTTGGTATTTGGTTGGTCTACTTTCTTTGCTGTGTTTTTATTTTCTCTGGTGACAGCTATTTAGCCTTAGGCATACTTGTATCTAGAGAAGTCCTTTTAAAATACATTGTAGAGATGGTCTGGGAGGTAAATTCCCTAAACCTTGCTTATCTGGGAGTTGTTTAATCCCTCCTTATAATTTAAATGATAATCTTGCTAGATGCAGTATTCTTGGTTTGAGGCCCTTCTGTTTCATTTCATTAAATATATCATGCCGTTCTCTTCTGGCCTGTAAGGGTTTCTGCTGAGAAGTCTGATGATAGCCTGATGGGTTTTTCTTTGTAGGTGATCTTTTTTCTCTCTCTGGCTGCTTTTCATACTCTATCCTTGTCTTTGATCTTGGCCATTTTAATTATCATATTTCTTGGTGGTGTTCTCCTTGAATCTGTTGTGGTGGGAGGTCTATGGACTTCCATGGTCTGAGAGACTATTTCCTTCTCCAGATTGGGGAAGTTTTTAGCAATTATTTCTTCAAAGACACTTTCCCTTTTTCTCTCTTCTCCTTCTGGTATCCCTATAATGCAAATATGGTTCCATTTGGATTGGTCACACAGTTCTCTTAATATTCTTTCATTCCTAGAGATCCTTTTATCTCTCTCTGCCTCAGCTTCTCTGTATTCCTGTTCTCTGATTTCTATTCCATTAACAGTCTCTTCTACGTCATCTAGTCTGCTCTTATATCCTCCCATTGTTTGTTTCATTTCTGTTATCTCCTTCCTGAATTCATCCCTTAGCTTTTGAATATTTCTCTGTAGCTTCATTAGCATGCTTATGACTTAAATTTTGCATTCTTTTCCAGGAGGATTGGTGATTTTGGTCTCACCAAGCCCTCTCTCTGGTGTTTGAGGGATTTTGGACTGAACAAGGTTCTTTTACCTTCACATTTCAATGGGAGTGGTCACTGGTTAGTGGTGTGCATTTCACTTGGGAGAACAAAATCCCGTCTTGCCAGTTGCCTTGCCTGTCTCCACTGTCCCTGCCTGTTAACTGCATACAGGGAGCAACCTTTGGGTTATTCCCCTAATCTGCCATGGGAAGGGTGGCCTTCGAGATGGCCTTGGGCAATGGCAGGGGTCACAGGCCAGCAGCACATGTTCTGCCACAAGAGCAAAGCCCCTTTGTCTCTTCTGCTCTCTGTGCCCGTCTCCACTATCTGTGCCTGTCAACTGTGTGCAGGGAGCAGTGTCTGGGTTAATCTCCTGAGCTGTGGTGGCAGGGCAGACCTTGGGATGGCTTAGGGCCCTGGTGGGGGTCGCAGGTGAGTGGCGTGTGTTCTGCCACCATAATGGAGCCCCTTTTTGCTTCCTGGGCTCTGCGTCTGTCTTCATTGTCTGTGCTGGTCAACTGCACACAGGGAACCACCTGTGGGTTAATCCCCTGAGCTGCTGTTGGTGGGGCGGCCCTCAGAATGGCCTAGGGTACTGGTGGAGGTTGCAGGTGAGTGGTGTGTGTTCTGCCGTGAGAACAAAACCCCTTTGTGCCTCTGTGACTCTGCGCTGGTCTCAGCTGTATGTGCCGGTCAACCACGTGCAGGGAGCAGCCTCTGGGTCTGGGCTGGTTAGCCATACTCAGGTAGAAGCCTCTGTACTAAGCTTTGTGGTTGCTGTAGACAGGGCTGCTCCCTGGCTGTTACCCAGAAATGGCACATCAGCCGGTTTGCTTGCTGTGCTGGCAGTGGGGAAGAAAGAGCAGGCTGCTTATTGCTGTCAGGGGTTTCAGACCTGTGTTGCTACCCAGGGGGTTAGGGCACCTGAAGTTCCTTAAAGTTCCCAGCCTGCTGGACTGAGTGTGCCAGGATGATTTTGCCCACCTGTTAACCCTTGTCCCTTTAAGTCTTTTTTTTCACCCACATTTTTTTTTTTGAGAGGGCATCTCTCATATTTATTGGTCAAATGGTTGTTAAGAACAATAAAATTCTGTACAGGGGAGTCAATGCTCAATGCACAACCATTAATCCACTCCCAGCCTAATTCTCATCAGTCTCCAATCTTCTGAAGCATAACGAACAAGTTCTTACATGGTGAACAGTACAAGGGCAGTCATCACAAAAACTTTCGGTTTTGATCACTCATTATGAACTATAAACAATCAGGTCAAATATGAATATTCGTTTGATTTTTATACTTGCTTTATATGTGAATCCCACATTTCTCCCTTTATTATTATTATTATTATTATTATTATTATTATTATTATTATTATTTTAAATAAAAATATGGAACGCTTCACGAATTTGCGTGTCATCCTTGCGCTGGGGCCATGCTAATCTTCTCTGTATCATTCCAATTTTAGTATATGTGCTGCTGAAGCGAGCACCCTTTAAGTCTTTTAAAGCACCCACTTTTCTTTTGTCCCAGGGCAGCCAGCTGTGGGGACCTGTTCACAGTCTCAATCTCAGACCTTGCTTTTCAGCTCCTCCAATATCCAGTGCACCATTCAGTGTGTGTGTCTGTGCTACCGGGGCAGACATCAGGGCTGGTTATTTAGCAGTCCTGTGCTTCCATTCCCGCTCCACTCTGATTCCCTTCCTACCACCAGTGAGCTGGTGTAGGGGGAGTGCTTGCGTCCTGCCGGGTCACGGCTTTGTATCCTACCCTTCTTCATGAGATGTTGGGCTCTCGCAGATGTAGCCTGGCTCATGTACTGTATCTTCTGGTCACTCTTTTAGGATTAGTTGTATTCTCTGTGTTTTCAAAATATATATGGTTTTGGGAGATTTCCGCCACCCTTCTCACACTGCCATCTTGAGAAATCCCGATTCTGCATTTCTTACAAGCTCTCAGGTGATGCCAATGTCTCTGGTCCTTAGATCGTGTGCTCCATTGTAACTAGGGTGTAGACTTCCCCATAAGAGATTTGGAAGCCTTTGGATAGTTCAAGACATAACAGGATCGAGGAAAAGCATTGTTTTGCTTTTATTTCTGAGCATGTTTGTAGCCAGAGGAGAGCAAAGACACGAAGAAATAGAAATATAGTTGTAAGATATCTTTGCTAAGAGGAAAGAAGAACAAAAAGAATGTCAACAGGGAATAATTAAGATCATAGATGTAGAGGTAACTTTTGAAGAGGAAGGGGAGTGGTGAAAGGAATGAGGGAGGAAAGAAATGTGTTAGCTAGGCAATTTTGGAATTGATGAGGAACTTTAGAGTAATCACTTTAGATGGCCTCAGGATTATTTGCATTGCAACTGAAGATTAGATCACTGCTGGTGCAGAAAATACTGGCAGCAGGACAGAGTACTCAGATCAGGGTAAACTATAGCCACTCATTCCTCCCCTTCAGAACTGTTGGCATCAGAATTCGTTATTTAAATGACATTAATTTTGATACCAAACATCAGCTGTTTTTTTTAAAGATAATTTTTTGATAAGATAGCTTTTTCATAAAAATTCTTGAAGGGCTAGTATGGTATTCCAAACCAGACTAATTTGGGAAACAAAAGAAATTACAAAGTTCATCACCTAAATGCTAAAATTGTGATTTTCAGCAAATACTACATTGATTTTGAAATACAAAAGATTTTTCATATCTAACAATTCTGTGGCAATTAAATTAATTTTTTCCTTTTTAGTAACCATATTAAGTACTGAAAGCTTATTATACATTATTTCTTAGATGTGTTTTATATACCTTCTTGCATGAATGGACAAAGAAAGTTAAAGATTACTAAACTAGAGGATGCAAGACATGTAGGCATACCAGAAGTCCACATGGGTATGAAAAAAATGAATATTTTTAAAACTATTATTCTACAAGTGTATATCCAACCTGACCAATTCATAACACTTTCTCTAAAGAGAAATGAATTATGCATTCTCCTGAACTGTCATCACATCTGTGTACTTGCTAAATTATAGGATAAATGGAAGAATATGACAAATACTTGTAGTATAATGGTATAAATGATTTTGCTGTACCTCATTAAAGACATGCTGTTGCATTCAACCATCTGCTTTCACATTTATCCCCTCAGGGTCATGATTTGTTCCTCTGACTACAGATCATTTTTCTCCCCACCAATCAGCATGTTCACATTGGTATACATGCATTTTTCTATTTTATTTGAAATATAATCTTACTTTGTAAATATTAATTGCATATTTTATTAAACCTATAGTCCTCTTTTTTCTTCAGGATTTATAACAGATTCATATTTTTGTCTTGTTGCTTTTCTAACCCCTCAAAAAAACAAAGCACCAAAACCTGATGTCATCATTTTCAAAGCCAAGCATGAGGATTCAGCTCAGTACTAACTCTGCATGAATACATAGTTGGCTTTCTTATTTCCATATCATTGATTACATATCTCACTTGCTTTTTAGATTCTCCTGAAAAATATCCCCACTTGGAGGTAAAAACTTATCTATATTTATCTTGGTTTATTAATCATAGAGTGTATGAAGTTAAACTAGTTATTAACCACCTTATTTCAAAACCCATTCAGCCTGCTGCCAAAGTGGAAGACTCTGTTCCTAATAAAACAGTAGGGGTGAAGGCGATACTAACATCCAAATCAGGTAAATTTTGCAATACAGGCTTAGCTCTGAAAAGAAGTACACTAAATATTTGTAATGCACAGTTTTCTTACTCCCAATTTTTTTTTTTTTTGCAAATTTAATTGAAGGTTTTCATAAATAAGGCAGATGTCATTGTCGGTACCTGTGAAAAAAGATTTATGAACATTTGAAAAAGACATTTTAAAACTGGAAGCTTTAACTCAGAAATTTCTATTTTTGTGTTTTGATACCCTAAATTTCCCAGTTTGAATTCCCTGTATTTCTTAGGGTTTCCCAGGGGTTAATTATTCGACTCTTAAGATTTTTTCAATGTTTTAAAATGCTTATTTGAATTCTGACTTTAACCTAGACTAAAGCTCCACTTGCTGATGTGTCAATTATGTTTTACCTTTATTTCATCTTAGTGTTGTTACACTGATTATCTTAAGCCAACCAGATGTTCTAAGCAGACTGTATGTATGTGTGTGTGTATGATGTCTTTGATTATTAAAAATGGGCAAAATCCTGGAAGATGACTGGTTAGCCAGAGACGGGTAAGATTCCTCAAGGGAGGAACAACCTAAGAGAGGCACAGTCGCAGGGGGGCCATCAGGTGAGAA